GCATCCGCAGTTCTTTTGGTTTTGGTTTTTAAACAGACCCTTTGGCCCACTCATCCATGCTGACCAGACATCTCAATCTGACCTAGTCCCACTTGCCAGCATTTGGTCCATATCTCTCTAAACACTTCCTATTAATATACCTATCCACATGCCTTTTAAATGTTGCAATTGTACCCACCTCCACCACCTCCTCTGGCAGCTCGTTCCATACACGCAACTGCCCTCTGCGTGAAAAGGTTACCCACAGATCCTTTCTGAATCTTTCCCCTTTCACCTTAAACCTATGCCCTCTAGTTTTGGACTCCCCTACCTTGCTTCTCATGATTTTATAAACCTCTGTAAGGTCACCCCTCAGCCTCCAATACTCCGGAAAAAAAGTTCAAGTCTATTAAGCCTTTCCCTATCGCTCAAACCCTCCAGTCCCAGCAACACCCTTGTAAATCTTTTCTGCATCCTCTCAAGTTTAACAACATCCTTCCTATAGAAGGGTGACCAGAATTGTAAGCAGTATTCTAAAAGTGGCCTCACCAATGTCCTGTACAGCTGCAACATGATGTTCCAACACTTATACTCAATGTTCTGACCAATGAAGGTAAGTGTGCAAATGCCTTCTTCACCACACTGTCTACCTGCAACTCCACTCTCAAAGAACTATGTATCTGCACCTGTTGGTCTCTTCGCTCGGCAACACACCCACAGCCCTACCATTAATTGCATAAGTCCTGCCCTGGCTTGCCTTGCCAAAATCTAACACCTCACATTTATCTAAACTAAACTCCATCTGCCACTCCTTGGCTCATTGGCCCATCTTATCAAGGTCCCATTGTATCCTGAGATAACCTTCTTCACTGTCCATGGCACCACTTATTTTGGTGTCATCCGCAACTTTACTAACCATACCTCCTACTATTAAAGATCATTCCTTCGACAAAATCTATGTTTTGAGGCACTGTTGCAAATATTTGGTACAGCGGAGAGCATAAACATATTTACAAGAAATCTTTTAGAGACAAAAAAATACTGCAGATAATGGAATCCATGGTAGACAAACAGGAGGCTGGAAGAACACAGCAGGCCAGAAAAGGAGCAGTCAATGTTTCAGCTACTATCCTTCTCCAGTCTTGAAGAAGGATAATACCTGAAACGTTGACTGCTTCTTTCCTGGCCTGCTGTGTTCTTCCAGCCTCCTGTCTGTCTACAAGAAATCTTTTATTGCTTTTACAAAAAGGATGCTCAGTTGCTTAGTAGAATAACACTTGAATATTGCTGAAAAGAGGCAGTTTTACGTCCTGCACTCATCAGGACAAATGCAGGAGTGCCAAATTTCAAATGTTCATAGCAATTTATTCTAATGGAAATAATGGTGCTGATTGGTCGCAAGTCAACTCTTGATTAGGTCAAATGTTACTATATAGAAAGGAAAGCCAAACTATAGGTTCCCCATGTTTCCAGGTCATTTTAAAAAGGTGCAGGCTTGAACATGTTCCTTTTGCTTGCTGAGAATGAGTCCCTGTGAATGGATGTCACTTTTATTGAGTGCTACAAACCACATCACCAGCTTGACTTATCATCTGAAGTTGATTGCTCGTGCTGCCATTAGCACAGTCAGGATTGTCCAACAAGTGCTGCCTACTTGTGGAATCACATCTAACAGGAGACATCTTGTTTTGGGTTTTGCAAGTATGAGCTGGTTGAATACAGCCCGCACTCTGCCGAGTTACAAACAGCCAGAGGAACGTGTTTTCTTAATACTATCAGGTAGCCAATGAGACACAGGGCCTCCATGGATCTCCAGTTTTCCCTTATAACTCAGATCTCTGGCAAGATGTGAGGGGAGGAAGTGGGAACTCCTCTGAAATACCTTCCATTCTCAAATACACCTCTCAGGCTGAAAACAAACAGGACACTGTACTGACTGTATGGTTCAGCAATATTTTCATGTGTTGATACCTGCTGTGCAGTTCATATCATATAGAATCCCCACAGCATGGGGACAGGCCTATTGGCCCAACAAGCCCACACTGCCCCCTCTGAACAGCATCCTACCTGGATCAAACCCCCAACCCTTTCCCTGTAACCCTCCATTTCCCATGGCTAATCCACCTAACTTATACACCCCTGGACACTACTGGCAATTTAACATGGCCAATCCACCTAACCTGCACATCTCTGGCCAGTGGGAGGAAACCCACACAGGCAGAGGGAGAATGTGCCAACTCCACCCAGACAGTCACCCGAGGGTAGAATCAAACCTGGGTCCCTGGCACTGAGAGGCAGCAGTGCTAACCGCTGAGCCGCTGAGCCACTGTGCCACCCCAAGTTGGTCCTTCTGAATTTATGAAGATGCTGAGATCGGCATCAGTTCCACCATTAGTTTTTTTCCACACCACCTGGACAGCCAAATGCTTCATCCTACATATGTTTTGTTGCATCGGCAGTCACATTGCAGTTTGCATGATATCCTTTCCCTTTCATAATTAGAATGTTAATCTCCTTTAACAAATGCATGATACTGGCATTGATTAATAGAAAGATTAATTTGATTGATGATTGAGCAGTACCTTTGAAGGAATTAGTGCAAATTCCAGGCCCCGGGCTGATTGTAAATGTAGGTTTTTAAGGCTTACATTAGGGAACCATATTAATGATGCTTTCTTACACCATCGTGAGCCTTCACAATTTACAGGACAATGTTGCAAGCACTTAGACACATTGTACAGGATGACTCTTTTGTAACGTGGGGCAACCGAAATATTTCCAGGCTATTCCTTTCCTTCACATCAGTAGGTGTAATCTTCACAATTCACCCTGAGAGGTCAGTGAATGAGTGAATTATGTGCTAAACTGTTTTTTGTTACCATCAGGAAATTCCACACCATGTTGCCATCAGTACAACTATCTGTGATGTAGGTAGGGAAGTACATGATAGGTGATGATGTGTCTGTTGCAGTGAAGCATTGGTTTTCAGTAATGTGTTGCTAAATGTTTTGCGTGCATTTAAACATTATTTTCCTGGGTTCAGTTAGCATGTTATTTATTACATTATATGATTACTCTGGATTAAATGACGTTCCATCACGAATGCATTAGCTCAGAATATTAAATGTTCAGTAAAAAACGGGTTCATAAAGCCTGTAATCTGATTGTTTGACCAAGTTTGATTTATGACAACAAACAGGGAATATAAAATGTTAACTCCGTTCATAAAAGAACAAAAGCCCTATTTCATTCTGAAGGTTATTTTTCTCTAAAGACAAAATGGATTTCGTGTTTAGCAGATTTGTCCACTACTACATATTCTAACATTTTGTTGCCAGTTTGTGTATAAATTATTCAATAGGAAACTTTTCCATTGTTGTTCTTCATCATTTATGAAATCTTGCAGCTCAGGTCGAGACCATTCAGCCTGTTATCCTTGTGATGGTACTTTGAAAGAGTTGTCCAATTGTGTCCCAAATCCCAGCTCTCCTCTCCAATGACCTGACATCATGTCACCTTTAGATATTTTCCTAATCAACCTGTTCAGGGATGTTATGAGAAACTGCTGGAGCAGGTGGGACTTGGACCCAGACCTCATGGATCAGAGGTAGGGACACTACCAACTGAGACACAAGAGCCCTCTACATGCTACCTGTATTTTTATAGCTCATTGGACTGTAGCCAAGATACTAGAGAGTTAATTGAGTGCTTGTAACGAGGTCAGTCAAGTGGGCCTCAGGTGGGCTATTAACCTGGTCCAATCAGGGAGCCCTGGCTGACAGATATAAACAGCAGAGTCAGAGGTTCTGGTCACGCTGAGGAAGCCTGATCAGTGTTAAATACTGTGCATGTATAAATAAAGGGTGACTTGGTGACAGGATACTGGTCTCTGTGGAGTGATTTCACTAATTATTCACTAATTCGATAGGTAAATGGCCCTGAGAGATCATACGTTCCTTCCTCAAAGGAAGTGGGCAGGTGGAAACTGAAAGAAAGGAATTGTACCAACACCTATAAAGTTCCTGTTAACCTCTTGAGACCAATGACTAAGAAAATGTGAGACCTTAGATCTAATTCTTTGTTCGATACAAGGAAGCTCAAGGTTCTCGCTCCGTGCTTTAAAAACAGCTGTGATCAGAGGTTTGCTGATGCTAAGGTTCCCAAGTGAGGGTGATAGTTTCTGCTTCTGTGTCAATGAAAGCATCTAACAGCATCTAATTCCATTTCCCCATTCTTATTCAAACTCGAGCTGAGTGAAAATGCCAGCTCCTATAACTGGAAATCACCAATTAGCGAAAATGAGCTGCAAATTATAATGATTACAAGGTTATTTTGGCAGAGTTTAAAGCCTTCTCTTCAAATTTCCAAAGGCCATTGACTCAATCCAATGCAACGTTGCCCCATCTTCACTGAAGAATGGCAGGTTGATGGAATGATAACATTGATAATAGCCCTCAAAAGAGTCTCTCAAACTCCAAAATCATTCTATTAGTGCTGAATGCTGACGCAGCTCAAAATCCAGGGAAAGAGTGAAATTCCCTGTTGCTCTGGATACTGAGAGGGAGTTTGATATTCCAAGGAGTTTATTTTTATCGCATACACAATAACCACATCGAAAAAACGGGCAGCTGCAAATGAAGAACAGCAGATGCCAATGCTTAAGGTGTTGCTAATATACAGATTTCATTATACTTTGAAAATAGTAGACAAAAGCAGAGGTGCAGAATTGAGCTGTAGCAACACATAGCATTCTACAGGTGTGTCCTACACCACTTGTGCACCTCACTATAGTATGTCTATTGAACATTTCAATGTCCCCATCACACAATTAGTTTTACATGGACAATCTTAGCCCCAATATCCTTTCCCTTGCAGACTGCCCACACGCACACACACACACCACTGCACCACCCCCCTCCCCCATGACTTCCATGTCCAACATGCACACATCTCTAGCAGGACACACCTAGCAATCGAGTGACTTTGATCTTTGCCATGATACATGTTCCAAGCTTTCCTACCTTTCGGCTGAAATGTTTGACTGCAGAAATCGGCTCCTGTGGAAATGAAGATGAAGAGATGAAATTTTGAGGCAAACAATGAATTGATTTTGAAGATATATGAGTCTCAACTGTTAATCGGCATGGAATACAAGGTGGGCCTTTCTAAACATCTGCAAATTCATGCACAGATGCAAATTCTAATCCGGAAGATGTATAAAATGTGGAGATCAAGTAAAAAGACTGTATTTGCAATGTGTCGTATATTCTAAAACAATACATACTAATACATTCTGGCCAGGGCAACTTACATATAAATTCGCTTACGGCTTTAAAATTTATGCCTGTCCCATGGTCAGGCCAAAACTGATGGGAGTTTTAGAACCTAACATTACCTCAGGAATGATACTTGTTATGAACTCCAAAGCCAAATACGTCTAAAACCCGCCTTTCTTTGAAAGACTGATGCTCGGTCCTCAGGTAAGCATTGCAACCCAATCCTGGGCTTCACATTTTAGATAAAATTTTCAGGACCTGGAAAGACTGCAGAAGAGAGTTACTGGAATGGTTACCGCATTTGAGGTCTCAGTTATATGATGATGCCAGACAATCTGGAATTGTCCTCCTTACAGCAGAAAAGTCTAAGGGGAGAATTAACAGTTGTTCAAAATTGTGAGGGGGCTTTGATAGGGCAGAGAGAGAAACATCCTTTCTATTAGCTTGAGGCTTTACAGGGAGCTGATGGCCTAGTGGTATTATCACTAGACTGTTAACTGAGAGACGTAGGTAATGTTTTGGGGGCCCGGGTTCAAATCCTGCCATGGCAAATGGCAGAATTTGAATCCAATAAAAATATGGAATTAGGAGTTTAAAGATGACCGTGAAACCATTGTTGTAAAAAACCTTCTGGTTCATTAATGCCCTTTAGGGAGGAAAACTGTTGGCCTGCACGTGACTCAGACCCACAGCAATGTGGTTGACTTTTAACTGCCTTCTGGGCAATTAGGGATGGGCAATAAAAGTTGGTTTAGCCAGTAACTGAACTGTTTTAAAAAGTAACTGGGAGGACAGTTGGATGATTGTGATAAAAAGGCCAGGAGGAGATTTGATTTGTGACTCTGGAAACTATGATTTGAGACATCATAGTTCAAAAGGGCAGTGGAAGCAGATTTGATCGTAGCTTTCAGGAGTTTGGTGAATATATAGTTTATAAGGGGAAAAAAACTTATTCATCTAGATTTAAGAAAAAATGGATTAGTCCATTTAAATCTCTGTGTCAAAGACCAGAAGAGGTGAGTGGTCACTTTGCCTGAGTCTGTAACTGCCACAATGATGTTAAAGTCATGTAAAACCAGAAAATGTGGCCTTTAAGTCACAGTCTGCAACACCATGAGGTATTCGGAGATCAGAATGATCTTTATTATCTCTCAGAGAAAATGACTGCATAAGTACTACAGAGATCTCACAGCCAGGAATGTCAATTTTACTTTAAATGTAGGACTTTGGTTTCTGGTACCCCTTTCCTAAGTTGTCTCGAGGGTTTGCTCAATGGCTGTACAGTTTTGTTCACCACCGGGTAGGTGAGGGCTCTGAGCTTTTTGCCTGGGTGATAGGCACATGAGTGGATGGAGAAAGAAGTGCATCTATAGCCAGTCCAAAACATCACAGCTTGGGTGAGAGAGAACCGAGGATGAGTCAGTTTTCAGGGTGTTTATTTATTCTCATACATTTTAAAATTGTTTGGACACCACTTTCCTGTTCTTTGCATATTTGCCTTCATCATAGAGCCAAATAAGTTCAACCAATGGTTTTAGTGAACATGCTGTCCATTCCAAATACAGGAGAAGCACAGGGTTCTTGTGTCATTTACCACCAGTCTGTTGGTGTTTTGCTTTTTAAAGTAATTGCAATGTGCAAATGCAGGCAGCAAGCATTGGGAATAAATAGGGAGTGGATGGGAGTGAGTGACCATTAAGGAAAAGAAGTGGGGGTCATGTTACCCCTCCCTCTCAGATCCCCTCCCCTTCAATGGTTTGCAGGTGGCACTTCCCTTGGAGGGGGAAAACAATGGCGGCCTATCGACTGCATTTCATTTGAGACTAGCAAATAGCACATCAGGACCAATAGGAGGATGTTCAAACAGCAAATCAGCAGCATCACAGTGTTGCTAGGGAAAGCAGCAAGTTTCACCTCTGGAAGTAAGATTCTGCAAACTGGCTGCAGTGTCTAGGGGTGTGTGGGTACATACTTGTGAGGGGTTTGTGGGGGGAGGGTTTGTGGGGAGGTGTGTGGGTATGTATTTGTGTGGGGATGTGTGTGGGCGTGTGTGTGGCTGGAATGGGTGTGTCTGTGAAGATATATGTGGGGAGGTGTGTATGTTTGTGGGCGGGGTGGGCCTGTGTGTGTGGGGGGTAGTGGTGTGTGTGTGTGGGGGTAGTCAGTGTTTGTGGAGGGGTATGACGTGGTGTTGGGGGTGGGACTGGAGAGAAGTGTGTAGGGAGGACTCTAGTTGAATGAAGTTGAAACTTGGTGTGTGGTACTGATAGCAATGACCTCGTTCAAAGTAGAAAGTGCAAAATGCAAAAGCATAAAAGATAGGAGCTACCGGAATAGAAAATGAAAGAATGCAAAATGAAAGCAGCAAATAGCAGAAAGTATGGAGTGACAATGATCAATCAGAGAATTCTAAATGGTCTTCAAATATCCTTTACTCTCTCACCTTCCAATTTCTCCCTCACATTTGTCATAATTCCTTAAATCAATTCTTTGAAAGCTCTCACCTTTTTGGTGTTCCCCACATTTTATATTGCCATGTCTGTTATGCAAGCTATCATTTTGTCCATCTAGTAAACCTAACATGACAGGTTAAATCCAAAAAATAAATACAAATATTATCCACTCAATAAATCTAGATAGGTCTGCATAGGAAACTGACAGTTCCACCAAAAATATCGGGCTTCCTCCCAGCATCATGCAATTTCTAATTAGCTATAAATGAGACACATGGACAGATCCTGTCTCTTATTCCAACAAGGAGAGATCTGATGAAGCTGAAGTTATGTCAAAGTGTCTATGAAGATGACTGATGCAGATGACTGACTGGTTTGTATGGAGAGCTGGGAAGCTGAACATTGACAGAAATAAGTTAGAAACACACACTAGGTTGGACCAGCATCTGAGTGACAGAAAGATGGCTCAATGATTCAATGCCAGATCTCATGAAAAATTAGATTTAATTAAGTTAGCCTACCTTCCATTCAGATTTTGCTGGATCTGCTAGGCAATTCCATTATGTTCTGCTTTTATTTCATGTGCTAGAATTCCTTTTCAACAATAGGTTGTGATTCAACTTATACACAGTTGAATCATGTGTATATAGGACAAAACAGGATTCAGTGGGAGATCTTCAAAAGCCCAGAGCTTCCAGCAGCTAGAAGATAAAGGCAGTCAGTGCATGGGAACACCATCACCTTCAGGTTCTCCTTCGAAGTCGCATACACCTTGGAGCTATACTGCCATTCCTTCATTACCACTGGGTCCAAATCTGGGGGCTCTCTGTCTAACTGTGGTTATCCCTGAACTATGTGGACTGCACTGCTTCAAGAATAACATTTGCCATTACCTTTTCAAACGTAAAAATAGATGGGCAATAAATCTTGAAATATTGCCTTGCCCATTGCTTGAGAATGAATCTTTGAAAAATCACATCAGCTCAGCAAAGCAACAAGTAAAGTGCTTACTATCTTTGTTTCATTGTGTTTCTGTCCTTGAACTATGGCCGAGAAATGAATTCTCAAGAGTCACTTAACATTGCCTGCCAAGGCTGTTATTGCATGCTGTTATCCACAGAGATGTTTCAAAGAGTTTGTTGAAAGTGCAGAACATCTCTTTTGGAGAAACAATATTCTGTGTTACTTAGGTGGCAAGTCATTCTTAAAGGGTCTTTGCATTCTTGAAGTGAAGAACTTATATAAGATGTCACTACAGACTTTTCATTCTCAGACCCTTGGATTCAGCTTCTACATACTTCAAATCAGCTTGCTCAAGTGAAAATTTTCAAAGAAGAAAATGATAGCTTTCCAAATGGTGGATTAAAACATGTTGCTGTGCCAAAGCTATTTAAATTGCTCCGTCATCAAAGACACTGTCAGGAGCATACAATCTTGACCATGACAAGGGAACAGGATAAATATTTGGGAGAGAATGATTTGACAGGGGAAAGAATCGGTGAGTCAGACTAATTGGAAAGCTCTTGTAGAGGGCTAGCGCATAAACAATGGACTGAATGTCCTCATTATACGCTGTCCGATTCAGTGGAGTAGTTGTCAGATTAGATCTTGCTGTGGATGTCTTCACGAGATCGAACATGAACAGCTACTGATGGATGGAGAGTAAGTGGTTTCATGTCCCAAATGGCAGTTGATGATGGAACATAATTGTGGAGATGTTTAATAGGTGTCAATATGTGCATCATGTACTAAGTCTATCAGAAAAAATGTGTGAAAATTTAATTACATGACCTTACTTCTCTTAAGGGAGCAGTTTTAAAATACTGATTATTTAGAATCATTAGCTATAGTAAAGAAAACAAATTCACAACAATATGCAAATTTAAAACTCTGATCAAGAAACATTCTACCTATAGGATGTTCATGAGAAATTACCAGAATTGCAATTGTAATTGTAATATCCTTAGCTGGGGTTTTATGGTTGTCTGGTAATTACTGGTAAAACACCCCTGAACTCTCGCTCTTAAAAGCTACTCAACAAGTTGGGCATTCTCTGCTGCTCCACGGAAAAAGGTGTAATGCCTGCCAATTGAGTTATGTTACCTCTTTCACTACTCTTGAAAGAATGGAGGTTTGCAGTTATTAAATGAATCAGGGAACAAAATAGAAGTGAGCCATTTACTCCCACGCAGTTAGCTTTCAAATTCTAAAATTCTTGTTTCCTTTTTCTTATTGAAGCTATTTATTGAAACTTTCAACCAAATTTAGATTCAAGTTAATGCTAGCATTGCTTACAGCTGAGATAGCTTTAAATTAGGGGTCTTGAGATTCAGCCACAGTGCTGTAAACTAATGGGCCTATGTAAAGGCATTTTGAAAAGCACTGCACAGCTAACTTGTGGATTTGACTCAAAATAATAATTACTGGAAAAGATTTGCAAAGTTAAGTCTTGAAAACATCTAATTATGCAGTTGAAGCTCAGGCAGATTTCACAAACAATTATTTCACTGCGTTGTTGCGTGTGTGCTGATGTCATCGGTGAAATGACTGGTTAGCACAGTAGTGGTCTTTTCCTTCACACAACACAAGGGTGTGTTAACTCACGGCTGCCCAACTGTGCCAAAGCTGTGCCTGACTCATTCCTTTTGCACAAATTCTCGTGTTTCAGGCTTAGAAGCTGTAAGACAGGAACGCAAAGCTGGAGAAAGATTGTGGAAAAAATGAATGTATAAATCAGCCCGGATCCAATCCCTAACCCCCAGTGTCTCATTTGTTAGTCAATGTTTTTGCTTGGGTTTCTGTTCAATTTGGCGCCTTTCTCCACTAGATATTTGCTGGCCTGTGCCCGATGCTTAAAGTTCCCCTTTCACACATTTCTTTGAAAGTGTTAACTTCTCAGCTGGGCTGGCAAACTCCTCAGATATTAATTTTCCTCTGTTGACACGTATCAGTGATCATTATTCACGAACTGAACACTCTCAACTGCTCAATGGAATCACAATGATCCTTTCCACAAGTGCATGTGACGGCTGCGGACATAACACAGACTCTGCCAAGAGCAACTTATTCAGAACAGCCTTGTCGCTCAAGCACTAACAATTGGTGGAGATACCACAGACTCACACTCTTAAATTCTAACTAACAAAGTATAGACAAGATATTGACCATCATATAGATAATAGCACTTGCTGGGCTTACTGATAATAGGCATGTTTAACCATCTGATTGTCCTTTACAGCTTTCGCACAATGCATAGTTAACATCTGTCAAACACAACTTGTAAATGTTAGACTGTCAACTGCCAAATCTCATGCCATTTAATACTTCATTCAGGCTAAAAACACAAAGTCCTCAACACCTACCAGCCAGGATGGCTTAACTGCCCTGACTTCTAACCTCCTGTATTTTTACCTTCCTCCCAATGAGGAAATGAATCATTGAACTCTCCAAAGATGTGTCACAACTCAATTTTTAAAATTTAAAGCAAGGAGATTAGAAAGGCAGGCCAGAAAACCATGGGTTCCTAGCGATATCAAATGAACTGGACATGTAGCTCCATGAGCGAAATGGAAAAGCAGCAGCATCAGTCAATTAATTAACAAAAAAAGGAGAAAAATGCAGCAGTGAATTCAAGCAACTTGCCAGCTCAGTAACTCAAACAGCACCAAAACATGATCTTACATGAAATGCTCTTTATCAAATTGATTATTGCTGTGAACCCTTACCATAAGGTACATTAAGAAAGACATCTGAAAAAGTTTAATTGTTCCAATTTACTGAAATATTATGTTGTATCCAATATGCTTCATTTTTCAGAAGTTGTAAAACAAATCTCACATTTAACTCAATGACAGCTGGAGTAGCGCGGCGTTGGCATGATCCTCATGCAGACTGAGACATAACACGTGGTTGTACAAGCTACTGGACAATTTGCACTCCCAGGCAGATCTGGTGATTACTCCTCTCGTCTACACTTGAAAATGAAATGGTTTTGACAAGCACGTTGCTTTCTTTGGAGCTGCAAAGACTTCTCAGTGATTATTGCAGGAGTATATTTATTCCTGAAACAACATTACTGCTGGAGAAGATCTGTATATGTGCTCATTATCTCGTTGCTGCTTGTTGAATCTTGCTGTGTTCAACTTAATGACCATGATTCCTACATTGCAACAGTGACTACCCTTCAATAGAATCCCTACAGTGTGGAAACAGACCATTCCACCCACCGACTCTCTGAAGAGCATCCCACTCAGACCCGCCTCCCTACCCTATCCCTGTAAACCTGCATTTCCCACGGCTAATCTACCTAACCTGCATATCTTTGGACTGTGGGAGGAAACCGGAGCACCCGGAGAAAAAACTCACACAGACACAGGGAGAACACACAAACTCCACACAGGCTGAGGCTAGAACTGAACCTTAGCCCCTGGTGCTGTGTGGCAGCAGGTACTAACCACTGAGCCTCCGTGCCACACAAGTGTTTTTTTTGGCACTCTAGGATGTACTAAAGTCACAAATCAAGTTCTTTATTCTTAATTTGGGCGAAACAAACATTTACAAATCACTCCAAGTTTGTGAGGAAAGGCATCCTGGAGCACTGCCTGTGTCCCTCCACATTCCTGTATCCTGGATTTCACTTCAGAAACATCCGTCAGAGGAAGGGAACCTCCCCATCCTCCGAACAAAAACTTCCAGGGCAACTAGAGGGCCAGAGTTCCTAGTGTTTGATCTTTTCAATGAGATGGAAACTATTTTGTAACTTAAATTAGCCTCAAATTATTTATTGATTTTCTGAAAATAGTTGTGTGCAATTTTAAACTAACCTGACCTCTGGAGAAGTATTCAGATCTGGTGCAATGTGAGTTTTTACATCCTGTCTGCTTTCACTCTCTGATTAAATCAACATATTGATTTGGAGGGGAGATGATGGCATAGTAATACTAATGCTTATACTATTAATCCAGCAACCCAACTAATGTTCTGGGGACCTGGATTCAAATCCCACCACGGCAGATGGTGGAATTTGAATTTAATAATAATCTGGAAATAAGAGTTTCATGATGACCATGAAACCATTGCCAATTGTCAGAAAAATCTCGTTTGGTTCACTAATGTCCTTCAGGGAAGGAAATTTGCTGTTCTTACCTGTTCTGGCCTACATGTGACTCCAAGCTCACAGTAATGTGGTTGACTCTTAAGTGCTCTCTGGGTAATTAGGGATGGGCAATAAACAATAGTCCAGGTAGTGATGCCCACATCCCATGAATGAATGAAAAAAATTAAACAACACAGGTAATATTGGTGGGAGAGGGGCTGTGCAATAAAGGCAGAATTCCACTCAATCCCACTATATTCTCAAACTGCAAGTTAGGCTAAAATTGTTCCACTATATTCTCAAACTGCAAGTTAGACTAAAATTGTTCCACTATATCCTCAAACTGCAAGTTAGGCTAAAATTATATCCAACAATTAAGATCAGCATGCTGAGACACAGTCAGCGATGCTGAATGAACTGCTGGATAATAGATATGCTGTTGTAAAACAGAGATTGGTACATGATATAGTGTTTTATCTTGTAGCCTGTCTGACAACTGATAAAACATGATATTAATATTGCAGCTCAACCTGTGGCATGTTGTAGATAGTTTCTCTGCTTCCTATGCTGTTGGTTGATCTAACCAAATCTTTGTCAGACATTTATCTCCTAAGGAAATCTTTCCACGTGAATATAAAGCACAATATTGCATTATTACAATATTCACAATGGTTTAGATTTAGTTCAGGAACACTCATTATCCAATTGTAGTTCTTATAATGACACAAGAATACCAGAAGTGGTATCAGGACAAATAAGTCCTCTTTTTGTTCCATTACTATTTCAACGTTATCTCATACTGTGGTAAGCTCTTACTTATACAGGCTGTGCATAAGTATCCGACAAATATTAGCAAATTCAAACTGTTGTCCTAATGCTGGTGCAAGTCAGTTACCAGGAATTACACTGGACTTCCATTTGATGTTTTTCCCTTTGTTTGTCTCTTTCTGTCAGCTCAAATTCAACTCTTTCCCTGGCAACGCTTCTCCTGGGACCAGTGCATGACTGAGAAGTCACATGGTGTCGTTACATCAATGAGAGAGTGGAGATGGGGCAAACTCGTTCTGCAAACACTCCTTGGTGCACCTGTACATGCAAACAGTTCTCTGTCTACCTACACCTGCAAACAGTTCTCAATCTACCTGTACCCAGAAACACTTCTCAGTATACATATATGTGAAACTATTCTCTGTCTATCTGTACCTGAAAACATTTCTCTCAGTATATCTGTACCTGCAAACAGGTCTTGGTCTTCCTGTAGCTGCAAACACTCCTTGATGCACCTATATATGCAACATTTCTTGGTATACCTGTGCTGCTAACAGTTCTCAGAATACCTGTACCTGCAAGCACTTCTCGGTAAATTTGTACCTGAAAGTAATGCTCAATTCTTTGCATTGTAGCAAACTCAAATGTATCAGTTGGAGCCACCATCAAATTGTTTTGGCAGACAAGCCTACTTTGCTCAAAGTAGCAATATTTCAGAATGTACTAAAATCAGTTTCAGGACAACATGGTGAACCGATCTTGATCAACTGTGCTTGAAGCTACAACAGATGTTAAACAGAGAGCAGATACAGTCAATAATTAACTTATCCAATTTCCTTCACAGCTCTTACCTTAAACCCAATGTCTCCTTTCTTGCAACAGAGGCAGGCGAGCATGAGGAAGATAAAGGTGAAGAGACCGGAAAAAGACACGGCTACCACAGCAAGTGAGGAGGACCACGTGAGTTCACCAATTGGCATCCCATCTGAGAAGATAAAAACCCACGTGACTTACTTTAGTCAACTCAAGTTGTCAGATTACTCAAAAGTCACAAAAATTTTCCATAAAGTGCCGTGAATTTCTTGAATAAGGTCCCACTTTTTAAGTTACTCTTTTCAAGAACTTTCTACAATTCACATGGAAATTGTTCCATTTTGCAGAAGTCACTAATGACGTTTTGATTTAGCCTTCAATCAGTTAAAAATTGCATAGAATAAATTACCTGATATCCTATGGAACTATTAACTCAATGTTAGTCACAATTAATATTCCCTCTGCAATTGAGTTACAGGGATGAACTAACTCCGAACTGTTAACTGAGTCATAAAAATGGTGAATTTACTAACTTGGACTTCACATTTCAGTAATGTGTCGTAGATCACTTCAAACTATCTACATGGTAGATATATTAGGACAGGATTGACAGGACACATCTCATTTTGCATGAGAAAAAAAAAGGCTGAGAGGTGACCTAATAGAAGCCTTTAAAATTACAAGGAATTTCAATATTGTGCCTATGGAGAGAATGCTTCCTCTAGTTATGATCATACAGTTATGGAATCATTAGCATGGAAATAGACCCTTTGGTCCAACTTGACCATGCCAAAAAGTTTTCCCAAACAGCATCTTCCAAATGTGTGACCTTTACTGACTAGAAAGACAAGGGCAGCAGCTGCATGAGAAAACCACCACATGCAAGGTAACCACAGGCCACAGACCATGCTCACTCAGAATTATATTGTTGTTCTTTCGCTGCTGCAGGCTCCTAACATCAGCCTTCCATATGTGGGTGTATCTACTCCCACCGTAGGCTGATTCAAGAAACGGCAGCTCACCACCACCTTCTAAAGGGCAGTTAGGATCTGACAATAAATGCTGCTAAATCCTGTGAAGGCAGAAAAGGGCATTTAAAAGCTGAAAATCCAATTCAGAAGAAACCTCTTTATCTAACGAGAAGTGAGAACTTCAAACTTGCTGCCACAGGGAGTGGTAGAAGTGAATAGAGAATTTAAGGGGAGACTATACATGGAAATGAGGGAGAAGGGATCAGAGGGTTACAACAGTAAATGTGGCTGAGAAACAATGGGAGGAAGTGCTACTAGAACACAAACATATAAAATTATGAAAGGAATAGAAAAGATAGAAACAGGAAAGTTGTTTCCACTGGGAGTTGAAACTAAAACTAGGGGGCATGGCCTCAAAATAAGGGGGAGCGGATTTAGGACTGAGTTGAGGAGGAACTTCTTCACCCAAAGGATTGTGATTCGGTGGAATTCCCTGCCCAGTGAAGCAGTTGAGACTACCTCATTGAATGTTTTTAAGGCACAGAGAGGTCACTTTTTGAGCAGTAAAGGAACTAAGGGTCATGGTGGGCAGGTGGGTAAGTGGAGCTGAGTCCATGAAAAGATCATGATCTTATTAAATAGCAAAGCAGGCTCAATAGGCCAGATAGCCTACTCCTGCTCCTTTTCTTATGTTCTAAACCCTGCAATGGGCTGAAGGGCCTGTTTCAGGACACTATACCCTATGTTATTCTACAAAAGATTACAAACTACAAATACGTAAATACATAAATAAGTGACAAAAATGCACAATATAGTCAGTTTACGTTCCATGGCTATTCTATGGGCTTGCATTTTTTTTTGAAGTTGTAGTCATTGCATAATCTCTATCAACATGCTGCCAGAGTAATGTATCATTTCTATAGACAAGGTTACATATTGTTGGAAAAAAAATCATAATTATCACAGCATAGCACAGGTCCGGGCAATGAAACACATTCCCTTTTTCACTGTAGGATGAGCCATTCCGAGATCAGGTGCAAGGTGGATAAGTAAAAAATAAAGCTTCTTCTACTCTTTCTCTGACAGCCCCCAGAACTCTACAATGTACCCTAATCCTGCTATTTTCCGCACCAGTCTTACAGTGGATAGGGGCCAGACATTAGAGGTTATGCACCCAAACGTCTTGCTGCTGTTCTGCTGAGCTGCTTCACAATTGCTCTTTCTCACTAATGTCCAAACACCTCTGAGATGGTACACACTAACATTGGGAAACAAACAGAGGAAGAGTACCTCCATTTCCAAGCATTCTCCTCCTTGATGAGCATGAAATTTACACTCACAAAATGAAATATATTGTTGGAAATAGTTTCTAAATAGTGGCTGCATGTAGACAGCACTGCAGCCAATAACCCCAAGAATATAATCTATGGAGATGTTTAGACAGATACAAGTGTTAGTTTACACCGGGATAAAAGTCACTGACACCCTTTAGATTTATGATGACTATATATTGTCTAATATGGTACAAAACACACATACTGTATAGGGATGGCTAAAGCCTCTGTTGTTTTAAGTTACTAAAATCAAATATCACCAAGATATTTTTTCTTTCTGAAATGAGTCATATGTACATCAATGTTGGGAACAAGATATAATCCTCATTTTTGTCACCTAGAGTCAGCACCATGTATTTCCAGCTCTTGGTCGGTCTCACATCTCCCATCTGCTCTGAGCTCAATCCAATTCCATGGCAGTTGTAATCTGCCACTTTAAAGCAAAATGATGACTTCAAATTTTAAAACTTCAAATTTCAGCTTTGATTTGAGAGCTCTAAAATTACATAATCACAGAGCCCTTAATCCTCACGTAATTTGAAGGGAACAAGTAAAAGGAATTAGCCTGCCTCAACTTATCACTTGGAATTTTTTTAGGCTCCGGACTGGTCATTATAGTATTTTTTTTTCATTTTGCAAACTCCTCAGTAACTCTTTTTGTACAAAGTATTGATGGCACAGAAACAGGCCATTCACCTTGACAGTTTCATGACTGTCTTTATGCTCCATAGAAGCCTTGTACTACCCTTTATCATAATTTCTTGTTCTCTTCCAGTATGCTTTTCAACCACCAATTATTATCACTCCATCCAATGTGGAATCATTCAGCACTTCTCTTTTATCCTTTGCTCCGCTTTGTGCTCCATAAAATCTGAGAAATATCATATGATTAGTCGTCTGATACTGCCCATCCTGAACAATGTTTCTCTTTCTCAGCTTATAAACACAAGTAACTGGCCTATGCACCCCTTCTGCCTTGCCTTCCTTTTTGGTTCTTTCAGTCTTCCTCTGTCAAGCCTCTTTTCTGATGGTCTGTGCAGTTACTGAATCTGCTTCCCAGACAATGCTGTATCTTCCTCTGCTAAACCATGTACTAGATTTGGCACCCAGATGGTTAAAGCAGCTGCCTAATAAACAGTTGTACCTGCATTCAACTCCCAAATGACAGGGTACTATTTATTTTTGTTCAGAAGTCAGCAGGATGCAGAACTATAGGATGGCTGTTCAAAAAGTGTGGCTTCACTGCAGATAGTCCTCTTAATGGAACTGCCTTTTTGCTCTTTATTGGGAAAAATGGCCTCCTTCTATGATTATGGTAGTGAAGAAGGTATTTGGTACACTTGCCTTTATTGGTCAGTGCACTGACTATAGGAGTTGGGAGGTCATGTTGCAGCTGTACAGGACATTGGTTTGGCCACTTTTGGAATACTGTGGGCTTTGCTGGTCTCCCTGCTATAGGAAAGATGATATGAAACTTGAAAGGGTTCAGAAAAGATTTACAAGGATGTTGTCAGGGTTGGAGGGTTTGAGCTATTGGCAGAGGCTGAAATGGACTGAGACTATTTTCCCTGAAGCGTCAGAGGCTGAGGGGTGACCTTATAGATGTTTATAAAATCATGAAGGGTATGGATAGGGTGAATAGCCAAGGTCATTTTCCCACAGTAAGGGAGTCCAGAACTAGATGGCATAGATAAGGTGAGAGGGGAAAGATATAAAAGGGACCTGAGGGGCTACCTTTTCACACAGAGGGTGGTACATGTATGGAATGAGCTGCCAGAGGAAGTGGTGGAGGCTGGTACAATTGCAACATTTAAAAGGCACCTGGATGGGTATATGAATGGGAAGGGTTTACAAGGATACGGACTAAATGCTGGCAAATGGGACTGGATTAATTTAGGATATCTGGTTGGCATGGGCAAGTTGGACTGAAGAATCTTTTTCTGTGCTATACAAACTGTTAGCTAGTCTATCAATATGGAATGTTAATTGTTCTGATTATAAGGATGTAGGCATGAGAAAATTATAAATTATAAATTAGCATCCGGTTTTAAATTCTCCCGTCCTGAAGTAGAGTCACTGGAACTGAAACATTAACTCTGCTTTCTGTCCACAGATGCTGCCAGACCTGCTGAGTTTTCCCAGCAATTTCTGTTCCTCGTTTTAAATGTTGGTCTGTAAGCACTGAACTACAGATTTGCCTTTTTCTGTACTTTACGAGCTAGAAAGAATCAGCTAAAAATCTTAATTCTTTATTAATGAGATGTAGCATTGGATTAGCAGAAGAATTCTTCAGTGACACATTTAGGCTGGTTTTACAGCAATCATTCAGAGCATATTGTTGTTTTACTGGTGTTTGCGCCATAGAAACAGCCTGTTCAAAAAAAGCTAACAATGTGGTATCTAACTTCATTGCAAACACTGAGACCAGAAATTCCAAGACAACAAGGTGCAAGGCTGGATGAACACAGCAGGCCAAGCAGCATCATAGGAGCAGAGAAGCTGACGTTTCGGGCCTAGACCCTTCATCAGAAAAGGGGGAGGGGAAGGGGGTTTTGAAATAAATAGGGAGAGAGTGGGAGGCGGATAGAAGAGGGATGGAGGAGAGGATAGGTGGAGAAGAAACAAACAGGTCGAAGAGGCGGGGATGGGGCCAGGAAAGGTGAGTGTAGGTAGGGAGTTAGGAAGGGGATAGGTCAGTCCAGGGAGGACGGACAGGTCAAGGGGGCGGGATGAGGTAGGTCGGTAGGAGATGGAGGTGCGGCTTGAGGTGGGAGGAGGGGATAGGTGGGAGGAAGAACAGGTTAGGGAGGCAGGGACGAGCTGGACTGGTTTTGGGATGCGGTGGGGGGAGGGGAGATTTTGAAACT